GTCCTGTATATTTTGTTATCTGATTTCACATGGTAGTTGCTTAGGGTATGTTTGTATTATTTGTTTATTTCCATACAACACATTACTCCAAAATATACTCTAGAGCAGCAGTTCTCAACCTGTGGGTCTCGACCCCTTTGGCGGTCGAACGACCCTTTCACAGGAGTCGCCTAAGACCATCCTGCATATCAGATATTTACATTATTTTTTTTCTTTTTTCTTTTTTTTTTAATTAAATATTTATTGTTCAGATTACATTTGTTTCTCTTTTTTTCCCCCCCATAACTCCCCTCCTCCCAGTTCCCGCCCCACTCTCCGCCCTCACTCCCCACCCACTGTCCTCATCCATAGGTGCACGATTTTTGTCCAGTCTCTTCCCACATCTCCCATTCCCCTTTCCCCCCCAAGAATAGTCAGTCCATTCCCTTTCTATGTCCCTGATTCATTATAATCACCAGTTCATTCTGTACATCAGATTATTTATTCACTTGATTCTTAGATTCACTTGTTGATAGATGCATGTTTGTTGTTCACAATTTGTATCTTTACCTTTTTCTTCTTCCTCTTCTTAAAGGATACCTTTCAGCATTTCGTATAATACTGGTTTGGTGGTGATGAACTCCTTTAGCTTTTCCTTATCTGTGAAGCTCTTTATCTGACCTTCAATTCTGAATGATAGCTTTGCTGGATAAAGTACTCTTGGTTGTAGGTTCTTTGGTATTCAGCACTTTGAATATTTCTTGCCATTCCCTTCTGGCCTGCAAAGTTTCTGTTGAGAAATCAGCTGACAGTCGTATGGGTATTCCCTTGTAGGTAATTGAGTCTCTTTCTCTTGCTGCTTTTAAGATTCTCTCTTTGTCTTTTGCTCTTGGCATTTTAATTATGATGTGTCTTGGTGTGTTCCTCTTTGGATTCCTTTTGTTTGGGGTTCTCTGCGCTTCTTGGACCTGTAAGTCCATTTCTTTCACCAGGTGGGGGAAGTTTTCTGCCATTATTTCTTCAAATAGGTTTTCGATATCTTGCTGTCTCTCATCTTCTGGCACCCCTATTATTCTGATATTAGTGCGCTTGAAGCTGTCCCAGAGGCTCCTTACACTATCTTCGTATTTTCGGATTCTTTTTTCATTTTGCTTTTCCGGTTGGGTGTTTTTTGCTTCTTCGAATTTCAAATCTTTGGCTTGATTCTTGCGCTCCTCTGGTCTGCTATTGGGTATAATATTCTTTATTTCAGTCCGTGTATGCTTAATTTCTAGTTTCTTTATCGTAGCATTGAGGGTCTCATTAGTTTTTGTGAGGCTCTCCACAAGTTTATTGCAAGCCCTCAAAATTGCGTTTTTTAGCTCCATATCCTCCATTTCTGTCATGTTTTTTTGTCTCCGGATTTTTTATGCTTTCTTGGTGCACCCCCTTGTGGTCTTTGTGCGCAGTCTTGTTCTCAGATATTTACATTATGATTCATAACAGTAGCAACATTACAGTTATGAAGTAGCAACGAAAATAATTTTATGGTTGGGTCACAACATGAGGAACTGTATTTAAAGGGCCAGAAGGTTGAGAACCACTGCTCTAGAGTATATTTGCATTCATTATCTATTGCTATGTGACAAATTACTCCAAAATTGGGCAGTTTAAGACAGAAAACATTCATTATTTCATGAGGTTTCTGGTGGTCAGGATTTGGAGGCAGCCACCCTGGGGGTCCGGCTCAGGGTCTCTCACGGGGTCCCAGTTCAGTTGTTGACAAGGGCTGCAGTCAACTCTAGATTCAGCAGCCTGGAGGTTGCTTCTGAGCTCATGCATGTTGTCAGTTGACCTTAAACAAGTAGGCAGCTTGATATTCCTCTAGCAAAATATGCTTATTTGGGTATATCAAAGAATTGCAATTATGGACACGCACGCTCATGGTGAGCCATGCCCAAGTCTAGAGGACAAAGAGAAGAACATTATTTTATAGAGAAACTAGGGGCCCAGTGCACGAATTTGTGCACCTTGAAAGGAACTGTGGACTGCGAGTGAGGCTGCTGTGGGCACAGGGGCGGGTCTTGGCCCATCCTCAGCACCCCTGCCCAGCCCCTCCCTCCATGGCCCACGGTTCCCTGTCTGCCGGCAGCCCCACTTTCCCCCCACCCCACCGCCGCTCCCACGTGCTGATGGCGCTGGCCCTACTCGCATCGCTGACAGAGCGGAGCAATTGGGGCCGGAGCTAGCAGTGGGTGTGAGTGGGGTTGGTGCCGTCAGTGGGTGTGAGCAGTGGCTGCTGCCCTGATCGCTCCTCAGGAGCAGGGGGAGGTGGAGAAGCCCTGAGGGACGATCAGGGCCAGGGGGTCAGTGCAGGCAGCAGGTGCAAGCACTGGGTGGGACCGCGGCACATGGGAGCAAAGAATTTTCAGTAACCACCAAAGGCTCACCCCGATGACAGCAACTGGCACCCCGCCTTGGTCTGGCGCCCCCGCTCACCTGCTCCACCATCCCGCCGCGGCCGACGCGTGCCATGTTCCGCACACACCCCCTGGTGGTCAGCGCACGTCATAGCGGCCGGTTGTTCGGTTGTTCTGCCATTTGGTCTGTTTGCATATTAGCCTTTTATTATATAGGAAGGGGAAGTTTAGAAGGTTGTTGTAAACAAAGACCCCATTGGAGGGAACTGGGAGTTGGAATGCAGCAGCTTTTCATTGGCTGAGCTGTGGTCGTCTTTCATTGATTTTGTGGGTTCCTAAGTGAAAAGATTCTCCTTCTTACTGTTGCAGTCCTGGGGCAGTCATTTTCCTGTGGAGGTTTTCTTCCTGTTTGGGTAGCAGAGCTCCCTCTGCAGGCCCTCTGAACTCCACTTTACAGTACATGAGCCTTCTGTTGACTAATCTTCACATAAGTTTCAGTTTCTCTCTGGCTATTGTAGGGGGCGTCATTTCTTTGTCATGTGGGTCTCTTCCTATTCATAGCATGGCAGCCAGATTCCCCTAGAGAGCAGAGAGAGAGAGAGAGACAGAGAGAGAGAGAGAGAGAGAGAGAGAGACAGAGAGAGAGAGAGAGAGAGAGAATGCCCAATCTCAGAAGTGACACCGTCACGCTGCCTCACTTTGTTCCTTAGGAGTGAATCACTAAGTCCAGCCCACACTCAGGGGAGGGAAAAGTTTCAAAGAATTGTGGACATATTTCTGAAACCACAATATTTCACCCTTGTGTATTTTAAAAGGACCTATTGGATATTTGTTTTACATCAGACGTGGTTTCAAAGCTGAAGTGCTGCAAAGGATCTCAGGTTGACGCTAAATGTCTCTTGTCCCCTGCGGGTGGATTGCCTTCTTTATGGGAGGGACCTGTGCCCTGTGGCTTCCAAGACAAAGACTTTCCTTTCTGCTGGGAAGCTGAGCTGTGTGCTGGCTCTCCGAGACACCGATAATTCTTGGATTGGAATGCCGTCTTTCCAGGGATCCAGGAAGCCCATGCCCAGGAGCCTCAGGGTCAGGGTGACTGCCCAGCCTCCTCAGACTGCAGAAACCTTTGGATCCTCCCGCCTGCTGGTAGATTATTTAGCCCATTCACTGTGCAAATTTTCTTTTGTCTGGAAGGTTATCAGTGTATATCACACTGAGATGTAAAATCATTTCTGTTCCTGGTCTCAGTGTTAAAATCGACAGCGACTTACGTAAGGTTAGTAAGTGGGAAGGTCCACATGTCTTCCTAGGAGGCTGCTCCGGAATAAAGTCACCCTGATGAACAGAGCTTAAGTTACAGTGTTGCAGTAGGAGATTCAGGAGAATCCACTTTGAAAGCGTCTCCCAATTGATAATTCCAGGTTCGCTGAGCTCTAGAGGTACACTCAGCTCAACTTCAGACCAATAGAAGACGCTAAATGTGACATTGTGGTTGAGAAACCAGCCTACTTCATGAAATTGGATGCAGGTGAGAAGTTAATTTGTAATTTATTAGTTAATGAGGCTTTGTTCCTTTTAAATAAATTTTATTTATTGATTTTTAGAGAGAGAGAGAGAGATAGAGAGAGGTTTGTTGTTCTACTTATCTGTGCATTGGTTGGTTGATTCTTGCATGTGCCCTGACCGGGGATTGAGCCTGAAACGTGTCTCACTTGGACGATACGCTAACCACCTGGGCACCCAGCCAGGGCAGTGTTCCTTTTCTGATACATTATGTGATTTCCGGTAACTTTTGGGAAGCAGTATGACATTGAACAGTGGGTTTGCTTTCTGCTTTCTTCTCTGAAGCAGTGAACTGGTTTGAATTTCCCTTCATTCAATACCTTTAGAAGAAATCTGCATATTTGTATCAAATGACTCAATCAGAATCAAAAGGCCAGAGAAGAGGTGTATGAATACCTTTGAAACTAGATGTACCCCATCACCTTTCCCAAAGCACTCGATGTAGGTTGAGCTTCGTTGGGACTTTCCTCCGAGTAGAAGCCATGTGTGCACTGCGGGCAGCAAAGGGTCCGTGACCTCTTCTGCAAACTTTCTGACATCGTTCCCATGATGGAGTAAATTTCAGATTCCTCTGGAAGTTGGGTTTGCAGTATATTCTTGGGGGAAAAGTTGAAATTACAGTGATTTTCCCATTTATGCATAAACCTTCTAACTCTCAACGTGTAAGCACGCTTCACTTTGTGAGCTGCTTGTCTTGCATGGCAACGTGGATCGTGCTGCACCTGCTCGCTCGCTCGCTCTCTTGCTTGCTGTGGGAGGTGAGGGTCACGCTGCCGCAAACATCACGCTCATGAGCGCCGGCCTTTGGCGAAACAGCTCTCCATCCTGGCTGTTTCAGCATTACGATGATTTATTGCTCATATTTTTAATGTGTTCTGCTTTCTGACGTCATAATTCTTACATTACAAAGTATTAAGTTCAAGAATCAGACAAGTTTACATTTTTAAAAATAAGAGCAAGTAAAAATGCTATGTTTGATGTCCTGACTCATTTAAAAAATATGCTAATTAAAAGGGGCCAAGAAAACACTGATTTGCCTGTAAAAGGGTTGAATGTGTGCACTGAGATACCTGTGCAGTAGCATATGTTGAGGGGGAGTGATCGGCCCGTTCTTTCCTATTCTACATTTGTCTTCTAACTTATGCTGTCTTCCCGGTTTCCTTTTTTTGTAATAGAGTTTCAGTGAAGTTATTTATTTTTTCATTTGCTGATCCATTTATTTTCTTTTTTCCTTTTTATTGAAGTTATTGGGGTAACTGGTTAACAAAATCAGGTGCACAGTGCACACTGTACTGTGTGCCCGCCCCACGTCCCGTCTCCGTCCCGTCTCCCTTTCATGGGCACTCTTCCCGGGAGAATGAGAGGCTGGGAGGAAGCAGGACTCACGTGTCTGAGGACGGAGCCTGTGATCGTTCCGGCTTAGAACCCTCCTGGCCCGCGCGCTGTTCTGTGTGCTGTGCTGCAAGCACGTGCTGCGAACCTGCTGAGTGACGCACGTGCGCCGGGGGCTGGCCTGGGCAAAGGGCTGTGCTGGAATGGAATTCTCTTTTTCTTGTTTATTTGAAAATATACTCTTTGCCAACCTTTCTCTGGGTGAAAAAGGAGTCCCTCCAAACATCCATCTAAATGACTCGTCTAGAAAGAACTGAGTGTTGCCAGGGCCAGTGTGTCTCAGTGGTTGGAGCACCGGCCTCTAGACTGAAGGGTCCCAGTTTCGATTCCCTGTCAAGGGCGCATACCTCGCTTGCAGGTTCCCCAGCCCTGGTTGGGGTGCGTGCAGCAGGCAGCCAGTCAATATTTCTCTCTGTCTCTGTCTCTGTCTCTCTCCCCCTCCCTTCCACTCTCTCTAGAAATCAATGGAAAAAATATCCTTGGGTGAGGATTAAAAAAAAGAACTGATTTTTTTTTAACTCATTTTCTGGCACACAATGTAGTTATTCACTGTGGGAATGAAGTCAGAATAGTTCATGATTTCTGCTCTTAAGAGTCACTTTTTCTTTTAATAAACATTTTTCCTCCTTTAAAGTACATGTTTTAAATGCCAGTTGCTGGAATGGCATCCTGTTCAGAGTCGCACATTTCCAGGTTGAATCCTGGGTCCTGTGCGCTGAGCCTGGGTGGGGCGTACTTGGGCCTGGGACTCTGGTTCCTCTCCACCCATCTGATCCAGCCCGACCCAGCCAGTTGCCGTTGTTTCATGCTGCCAGGCCCTGGCTGGGCAGTTGTGGGTCATTTCTAACAAAGCTGGCACCTCAGTGTAGGGATTTCCTGTTTCTAGTTGAGGAGCTCAGGGACTCAGGAACTTGTCTGAGAACGTGGCTCGTGAATGGCTGAGCTGGGATTCAGCCCAGTTCCTCTGATTCCAAAGTTCAGGCTCCTTCAACTAGAACACGAGACATCCAGCCCTTTTAAACAATAGTCGGCTAATATTTCCCCAAGGAGCAATGTTGTAAGTAGTGAGTAAGTATGAAGAAAAGAGACAGGAATGAAAAAATACTCAAATGCTAATAGTTGGCATCCTTTTCAATCCTATGATGAACAGGTGTAGCCTAATTTATTTTAAAAATAAATGATCCTAAAAATAAATTCATGGTCCTATAGTTCTATCCAATTCTGAGCTAAATAGACTTGTATTATCCACTCCCCTCGCCCCCCGGGAACTTAATGATTATTTATTACTTAGTTTATATGGGAAAATGCATTCCTGATTTCTAAATAATCAATTTTAGAGTGAATTTTTGAACCCAATCAGTCTGTAAATTGAGGATTGCCTGAGTATAGATCATGTCATGTTTGGAAAAACTCTTTTCTCTCTCATTTATTTCAGCTAAAAGTCCATCATGTGATAAATAGAAGGGGTGGAGTAAAATTGTCTGCTCATGTGTTCTCCGGGGTTCGCTAACGCAGGCTTCTTTCTCCGACGCTAGGTGTTAACATGTATCACCACTTCTGCGACTTCCTGAACCTGTACCTCACTCAGCACGTGAACAACTCCTTCAGCACCGACGTGTACGTCGTGATGTGGGACACGGTGCGTAGGCTGCCTCGCTTCCGCTCTGGCCTTGCTCCTCACATCTGTGGCTCCGCGTGGTGAACGGGACTCTCTAAGGCACCACATTCAAATATACACGCACGCACACACGTCCACGGGCGTGCAGGTGAGCGGGGGCGTGTCTGTGTGTGTATGCACATGTTCAGATGGACACATAGGTAGGCTTACATTTCGCTCTGGGAACTTGAGAGGGGGGCAGTGGAAGAGTTCCCTCCCCGTGTGGGCAGGGGGTGCTCCGCAGACCAAACCTGGCTCTCCCTGACCTCGGCGCCCCGCGGCCCGGGGGAGCTGCCCCTGCGTGCAGCTGTGCTGCGTGGATGAGCTCACTACAGCGCGGGCCCGAGGCCTGCACATCAGCACCGCACCTGCTTTTTGCTCTTTGTTTTTACTGCTGTCTTTTTTCTTTCTTCTCTCTCTTTTCCTGCCTTTATTCTTTCAATGCTGACCCCTCCACCTGCCAAGGTCACCCCCCAAGAGTTGCTCCCGTGCACCCGGCTGTGAAATAGGACAGTTGTCATCTCTACCCAAGTGTCATTTTGAGAATAAACCATGTGGTGTATGAACAGTCACAATGCCCGACACAGCACCTGGGCTCCGAATGTCGCTCTGACAAAGACAGTGGTGAGGACACGTGGTTTATGACACACAGGGGAGGCTGCCTAGCCT